GGCTTTTAGAGAGTGCCTGTTTGAGCACACAGTCCCATGGGAGGGAGGCATGGCAATTGGGGCTACAACTGTAGCAGCAGGAGCTTGCTTTGGCATACTGTGATTGCAGATGAGAAACAGAGAGAGGCTTAGATTAGAATCTGGGGCTAAACTGGGCATCTACTAATCCAGTCTCACAAAATGCCTTCAGATGTTCCCCCACCTCACACACCAGCACCACCAGCTGGGGCTAAGAGTTCGAACACATGAACTTGTGGGAAATTTCATATTCAAACTTTAACCTTCTGTCCTTGTCACAAAAATGTGTTATACATTCAGTCCAACTTTAAAAGTTGTATTTAGTGTTTCATTCTTAATCTGTAAAGTGAAGTTGATAATGCCATCCAGGTCCTAGAATTGTCATGAAGATGGTAGGTATCCTGTGCTTGGAGTCTTTTGAACAGTGCTTGGCAAACAGCTGGTGTGCTTTGTTAGCTCTTATTGCTATCGTAAAGTGTTCTGTGAACCAGCTGAGTGTGTACATTCAAGTAGATTTTCATGTATTTGGGAATGACAAAGACTATGTTGCATGCTAATTAACCCATGTCCTAGTTCGTAGAAGGGGCTGGTTACTGTGAACTGCAGTAACATCTGACCAGCTGAGCCACCATGGGGCAGCAGGGCCCCAGCAGAGAAGGATTTAGAGTTATCAGAGAATCAATCTTTTAGAACCAAGAAGTAAGCTTACTCTGAATGAGATGGGTTGTTCTACGTGGCTGCGAACATCTGGAAGCATTGCCCCCCTCCCTCTCCCAGTCTGCTGTATCCTTCATATTATGGTCGTACCACTAACAGTGACCCTGTTAATGTCAAGGTCAAGGTCAATGTATTTTAAAAGATACCTTGTTGTGATGCTAAGAATATTTTGAAGAGTTTCAAAACTCATCAGTGATTCCATTTTATTTTTTCTTCTAGAGTCAGCAAGTTTTTTTCCTTATCAGCCCATGATACCTTTTTACCTCCTAAAGATAAATGACTTTTCCTTGAGTTCATGGGTGTTTGTTGTTCATTTTTACCGCTGGGATTTTAAAATGTTTAGATCTGCGGTTCTTGGCGTCAACTGCACATTAGAACCACCCTGGAGAGCTTTTAATGAAATAGAATTCTCTGGGCTGAGAGCCCAGACCAATTAATCACAACCCCTGGGGAAGGTGGAGCTTAGCCACTGGTGTATTTAAAATGCCCCTGATGGACTCCCCTGTGAATCCTGGATCCAGAACCCTTGCCTTAGCTTATACTAATGAGGCTTCCTGGTCACTAGGGGTGGCCTATGTTAGTTCATCACAGGACTTTATGTCATTCATCTGGTTCCTGATTTCTGGAAATTTGGAAGATTGATACCTGTAGTTAGAGGTTTCTCATCCCACCCACCAGTTCCCAAATAACCACTCTATGGCTTAATATTAATTATAGTTGTTTAGCCAAAGACTTAGACATATTACTGAATAGCTCTCACAATTAAATTAACCCATATTTACTAATATGTGTATCACCATGTGGCCATGCTTTACCATTAATGTTCTGGCATCTTACCCCATCAGTGGCTACATGGCATCACCCTCACTCCCCCTTCTTTCTCTATATATCTTTGTTTGGATTTCCCACCTAGCTATATTCTGACGGGCCATTGACCAAAACAGCTTTATTCATCAACCAATAAAAGCAACACAGATTCGCAGCATACTTAAGGAAATCTCACATCAGACTCCCTTCGATACAGAATAGCTAAGTTTATGGCTCTCTGCTTCTTTATCCTAGGTTGACTTTTTCATCAGTATAACAGCAATCCTTCCTGCTCACCAGTGTATTTTTAAATGTTCCCCGGGGAAAGATATTGGATAGTTCTACCTGCTGGAGTTTTGGGGGAGATACGACTATAATAGGTCTATATGGGATTGCTCACAAGGTTAGGCACTCTAAGGATGTGAACTATTTTGTCTGCTAAGTGAATTATGGGCTGTGTGTCACACACTACTCCCATTGGTGCTAGGGAGTGGGACACTGCCCTGTGTGCATAGATAAGTAACTTGACCAGGGGACTTTTGTGGTTAAAGTACCTGAACTATGTTAAATTAATCAGCCTCCAGTTATGGTAACAAAATACTTGAGATAATTAACATAAAAAGAGAAATGAGTCTGGAGGTCTCAATTCACAATCCTCTAGTCTTTGACTGTTGTGCATGGAATGTGACAGAAAGTGATAGTCGGAACCAAATACTAGCATATGGCAGGGCCAGATGCTAACTAACCTCTTGGTAGCTGAGAAACACATAGACAAGAAGCAGCCCTTTCAAGGGCATGCCTCTAGGACCTAACCTGTTTGCGTGTTGAGGGAATAAGGCCCTTGAGCCATGCCTCAAGAATTTCTTTGTCTCTTGAAGGTTTGTTTCATCACCACTCAGTAGTACAACCAGCTACTGACCTACATGTCTAGGGGGATACTTATTAAAACCATAGTGTGAAATAGGACCCAATATGTTCCTATTTATATATCACAGCTACTCACCCATTCTGTGCAGTGGGTTTCTACAAAGCTATGGATTTTCTTCTGTTAGAATATATTTTATCAGCAAGGATAATTAAAGTAGACTAAACATCTCCCTTCTTTTACTTTTAGAAAGTAAGTATCAAATATCAGAGTGTACAGTACTTTTTAGTTTTCTGGAATAGTCTTTGCAAAGAGAAAGACTGGCAGGGGGTGCAGAGCTCTTCTCCTGCTGCTGTACAGGCTTAAGAGTCTTACACCTGGGCTATGGGTTTAAAACATTCTGGCTTCAGGAGCCCACTTAAGAATGGGTTCATGTTAAGTTTGCTTTCTCATTTTTGTTATCTTTCTTTGCTTCTCTGTAGTGATATACTTATGATTTATTAAAGATTATCTGAGGATTCAGGAAAGAAAGGTCAGCCTCAAGCTATAGAGATCAGGCTGTGGTGACACACACCTTTAATCCCAGCAGCCAGAAGCTAGCAGGTGGTGGCACACACCTTTAATCCTAGGACTCGGGATTAAAGTTAGATAGACAGATCTCTCTGAGTTCAAGGCCACCCAGGGATACATGAGATTGAATCGCTCTAAAAGAGTAACAGATCACACATCTTTAATGTCAGCACTAGGTGGGTATAAAAGATAGAAAGAAGCAAGATCTTCCCTATTCAGTAAGGAGCATTCCTTCTCCAGTCACACTGAGGAGAGGTTACAATCTGAGGCTTGGTGAGAGCTCATGGAGACAGGATTAGCCCATTCAGCCTGAGGTAGAGGTAAGGAGCTAGTAGCCAGCTGCTTTGCTTCCCTGATCTTCAGCTTAAACTTAAACCCCAATATATGTCACTGGATCTTTCATTTATTCATGTTACATGTCTCTTCTGTTTCTTTTAAACATAGATATTGTACTCTGGGGTTTAATAACAAGTAGAAAAGTATAGAGAATTATGTGTACAAAACAGATATTTACATTATGATTAATAACAGTAGCAAAAGTTACAGGTATGAAGTAGCAATGGAAACAATTTTATGGTTGGGATCACCACAACATGAGGAACTGTACTAAGAGTCACAGTATCAGGAAGAGTGAGAACCTTGGCTCTAGAGAGTGATCACAGTGTTTTTAGACTCTGGTAAATAAATGTACAGTCATTGCTGTTAGACTCTGGAGTGAGTATGTACTCTGTGCTCTTAGGCCTTGTGGTAAGCATATAGTCACTGCTGTTCCACTCTGGTGAGTGTGCACTCAGTACTATCGACTCTGAGGAGTGTATCCTCTTTCTATACTCTCGTGAATGAGTGTGCACTTAGTGCTGCTAGAGACTCTGGGGCATGCACACAGCGCCTTTAGAGTCTGCTGAGTGACTGCCCACAGCACTGTTAGATTCCATGGTGTATACACAGCTCTGTTAGAATCTTGGGAGTGTACAGCCAGTATTTTAGGCTCTATGATGAATGAATGTGCACTCACTGGTGTTAGACACTGTAGTGACTGTTAGAATAGGAGGAGGACATACTCAGTGTTTTTAGACTATGGTGAGTGTGCACTAAGTTATATCAGACTCCGAGGAGTACACAGTGAACATAATTTTGGATTCTATGAAAAATGAGAATACACTAGTACTGTTAATCTCCATGGATTCAGTACTGTTACACTCTCTTATCAGTATGTATGTTGTAGAATATGATTTTAACTAGGCAGAGATGTGTTATATTTGTCTTATTTTAACTGTAAAGGTGAGTTGCATTTGTTTATGTTTTGGAATATTACTTTAACGATATAAAGATGTGTTACATGTGTTTATGCTGCATTTGTTTAATTACGAAAAGATGTGTCTCATTTTGTTTCACCTGCCTAAGGCAGCTGAGTGGTCTCATAAAGAGCTGAAAGTCATGGAGCAAGGATAGGCAGGACTGGCCAGCAGAGAGAGAATAAATGGGAGGAGAACTCTAGGCTTAAGAGGAATGAAAGGAGAGAATGAGGAAAATGAGAGGGATGTGCCGGGGTCAAGAAGCCAGGCAGCTGCCAGCCAGCCAGACACAAGAAGCAGTGAAAGTAAGATACACAGAAAGAAGGTAAAGAGACCCAGGAAGAAAGGTAGACGAAGAGAAACAGGTTGTTTAAGTTAAAAGAGCCAGCCAGGAATGAAGCTAAGCTAGGCCGAGCATGCATAACTAATACGTCATGATTTGGGAGCTAGTTGGTGGCCCAAAAGAAAAAGTGTGGCACATATACACTCAGTGCTGTTAGACTTTAGGGAGGACTCAGTCCTTCGAGATTTTAGGGTGAGTGTGCACTCAGTGCTGCTAGGTTCTGGGGAAGGTGCACACTCAGTGTTTTTATAGTCTCGTGAATGAGTGTTGACTCAGTGCTGTTAGTCTCTGTGGTATGTGTGCACTCAGTGCTGTTAGACCCACAGTGACTATGCACTTGGTGCTCTAGAACAGTTTCACAGTGTCAGTGTATTTCTTGTTGCAGGTACATGTTGGGACTTGCCGCAATTCCAGCTGTTATACAGTTTCTTGGATTTCTCTTTTTGCCCGAAAGCCCTCGGTGGCTTATTCAGAAAGGACAGACTCAGAAGGCCCGCAGAATTTTGTCTCAGATGCGTGGCAATCAGACCATTGATGAGGAGTATGACAGCATCAGAAACAGCATCGAGGAGGAGGAAAAGGAAGTCAGCACAGGTATGTGTATGCCCCACTGCACAAGGGGGAGAACTACACTGTGTTTTATTTAAAAATTAAATTATCTTAGTGTTGCTTAACACACCTTTGTGCATATAGCCAAACAAAATAAATATAATTAACTTTTAAAATAACATGACAGTTTATTAAAAGTAATAAAAACCATATAATAAAAATAATATAACAGCATAACAGAACAATAAGGCAATTGAGGCACCTTTTGGAGCAATAACAATTAGCATGCTCAGTTTGCTGTTTTCAAATTTGTATCTAAAATATATCCTCTTTGATTTTGTTCTGCATTAGTTGGCAATTCATATGGGCACACAAGTTATTTTTCATTCCAGAGAAAATGACAGACACCCCTATGAAGGTGTAGGTATTTGTCAAACACAAGTATTGGGTATTATCAAGACCTATTGTTCATGTTTTTAATATAGCTGAGGGTTACTTTCTTCCCACAGTATCCGAGGTGCACTGGCGGAAATGAGTGTACTGTGATTTACCTTGATATATGTTGAAGCACATTCAGTCACCTGCTGCTACTGCCTTCTTGCTCAGACCTGAGCCCCATCTACTGCTAGATTCTGTTTATGAACACTTAGCATCTGTTGTGTGTCTGGCTGGTGTCTCAAAAGAAACACTTCAGTGCAAAACAAGGAGACTTTCTGTGCAAGATTATCTCCTTTAACTGCAACACTGTGTCTACTTTAAAAAGGACTACTTAAAATACCAATTTAAATTACAAATAACTTCTTTCTTTACTAGCCTGAATTTTCCCTGTAGTATTTCAAATGAAATATGAGGGATACATACATATATATATATATTCAGTGTACTTGAAATCTGTGTGCTAATTCCGTGTGATTGGAGTGGGAAACTCAAAATATTAGGGCTATTAGATTAAATGCAATATAGAATTTATGTATTTATTAACTAATAAGAATGTTTTTGATTTTTACTATAAAATATTAAGCACAAATTTAAAGAATATTTTTGGTCCAGTTTTATTTTTTTGTATTTTTTGAGATCATGTTTCATGCAGCCCACCTACCACAATGTCCCAGAACTCATTATTTATTTAGCCTACGATGACACTGAACTCACCCATATGCTGACCTTGAGCTCTGGATCTTCTTGCCTGCACTTACTAAGTGCTGGGAATGTGGGTGTATGCCACCACGCCCTTTTGCACATAGCTTCATTTTGACTGCTTACAGATATTTCTCCTTGAGCTGTGCAGTTCTGACACTGCATACCGATTGAGTTTCATGACCTGGGAAGGTCTAACCAGATGGACTCTGGAAAAGCTTGAGTCCCTGTGACTGCAGTGATCCACACGTGCTTCTGTTTATATCACTGATCTTGAAGAGGCAAAGAGGACACCATTTGTGGAGAATAGGTAAAAATTTGCTATCTCCCATCATTGCTTTAGATATATATTTGGACAGATTTTTTTAAGCAAATATTGTAATATGATCTACTGAGGCTTATTTCATGTTTGAATCTTCCAAACTTAGTAAGTAGCAAGATGAACCCACCTCTGGGTTTGCAGTATGTGATGTACTGTCTGTCACCTCTCTTAGTTTAAAAGTTTAGCCCAGTGTGTGTATGCAGTGCAACATCACAAGTATCCCTGAATTTGTACAATATATGTTTGGTTCTGATAGTTGGAAATCAATGAGAAGAAACTTGAGCATGGCAAACATGACAGATGACGCAACAGCACTGCAAAATCTAGGCACAAGACAGTGTCACTGTGCTTGGGAAGTGGGGACCAGTGCAGACTTAACAAACCTAGGCCTTGGCCCTCTGTCTCTCCATAATCAGAAGTAATGGAGTAGACAGAAGTAATAACAGCTAACTTGAAAGTAACAGAAATGCCCTGGCTCAGAGATAATTCATCACTGTGTTGGGACATGGCCCATTCATCTGCCCATGGACCCTGGGGAGATGAAGTGTGAACTATGACTGCAAACTTGGAAGCTGAGGGTACAGATTACTGGAGGACAAACCTTGACAGTGTCCCAAAAAAAATCAGATGTTCAAAAGGTAGGGAGATGATGAGGCACCTTAATTTTTTTTTTTTAAGAAGAAATATTTTTTTTTTTTGGACATAGGAGCTTAGTTTACATGGTACCTGGAAGCACAATTATGTTTAGGTTTGATTCCATATCATCTATGTCTACACACACACACACACACACACACACACACACACACACACACACACACACACACATTTCCCTTAGTCATGTAAGTTTAAGCCTATCATTTAGGCTAGTTGTTCTTAACCTATGGGTCATGAACATCAGAAAACACATATTTCTTATGGTCTTAGGAACCTCCAACCATAAATTTATTTTCATTACTACTTCATAACTTGTAACTCAGTTCCTAAGACCACCAGAAATGTGTTTTCCAATAGTCAAGAACCCCTGCTTTAGCACACTGGTTATCAACCTGTGGGTCTCAACCCCTTTTGGGAGCTGAATGATCCTTTTGCGGGGGTAGCCCAAGACCATCAGAAAACACAGATGCTTATATTACAATTCATCACAGTAGAAAAATACAGTTATAAGTACTAAAAAAATAATTTTATGATTGGGAGTCACCATAACATGAGGAATTGAATTAAATGTTCACAGCATTAGAAAGAGTTAGAACCACTGTTATAGCACAATGGGAGATCATGAACCTAACACACAGAAGACAGAGTATCAGAAAATCAAAGCGTGTCTGGGGCCTCAGTTTATAAGCTGATACCTTCCTGCTATAACAAAGAAAATAAAACCAGCCAACAAGATATTGAATTCCTTGGAAGGCAATCTTTCAAAAAATGACATTTATTTATACACATATGTATTTAGTGTGTGTATTTGAGTGTGTGTATCCATTCGGGTCTGTGTGTGTGTATGTCCCTGTGTGTTTGTATGTACAGGTCATAGGACAAGTGGGAATCAGTTCTCCTTTTCTACCATGTTTGTCCCAAGCTTAGTGGCAAGTGCCCTTCACCTGCTTAATTATCTGGAAGACAATTTTAAGGAAGACTTCCTAGTATTGAATGCTGTCTGCTACCTTATCTGATGGGCTCCAGTGACTTTCTAAGTTTCATGTCCATGTCTTTATTACGGATAAGATGTGTGTTCCTGGGAGGTGGTGGAAGGAATGCAGAGACTGCCAGTGCCATTCTGTGATGACAGTAACTTCTGTGTTCTTATGCAGGAGTCACATGGGTGTCCAGACGGTCTCACAGACTGATGGTGGGTATCAAGGTGGGATGAGAGCTGGAACACGGACTGTGTATAAGGAAAGGTCTCCTTTTCTATAGAAACATACAAAGCGTGACGGGCACATTATTATAGGAAGACATGAAAGGCCATAGGTGTGGAGCAAGGTGGTTGTTGGGATAGCTTCAGTGCTGGGCAGGTAGAGGAGAGAAGCTACCTTGCTGCTGGAGATGATCAGTCACAGGATACTGCACTTTTACAGCTCAGTGGAATCACTTGTGACATAGGTTCAATCTTCAGCTTAATGTATTTATTTTATATACTTAATAAATATGACTTCACATTGATTGATTGAGTCATCTATTGATTCATCTATTTGCATTGCTGGAAGTGGAATGCAGAGCCTCACACAAGCTAGCTAAGCACTATACTACTGAGCCAAAACCTTAACATCAGTGCATGTGTGAAGGAGCCCCTGTGGAACTCTTCCAGGGTGAAATATGATGCAGGATTACCTAGACCCTAGAATCAGGTGATGCTGCATCCAGCTTACCACCAAAACATCCAAGCCAACAAGATTTAAATTTTATCAGTTTGTGAGCCTGTTGAAGTTGTCAATGTTGTGTATGTGTTTTGCTTAGGGTCCCTAGCCTAGAAAGAGTGTGGCATTAAGGGACATTTATTAGGTATCTCCCTATGAGTTCATTTTGATTTCTCTCCAGCTCTTTGGGGTCATGACCATTGTTGTCAGGAGCAGGTGGCTGCATCTCTCTCCCTCTCTTTCTCTCTCTCTCTCTTTTTTCTCCAGTAATTTTGCAGTTAGGTCATAAGTCTTCCTGTAAATCATTTTCTCTGTCAGTAAATTGATGTTGTGCATGGCCATTTTAGCAATTCATATTTTACAGAGAGGTATTTGCAGGGAGGGCCAATATCATAGTTTGTTAGCAATTCTTTTGCCAATATCATGGTTTGATAGCAATTCTTTTATAGCTTCTTTAGAAATCCAATCCTGAATGATGACCTTGCAGTGAATGTTCTTTGCACTTGTTATCTGCTTTCCTGAGAGAAAAGTGATCCTCCTCATAACATGGTAACAGGTTGCATACATTACATAAATTGAAACAAATGTTGACAGTTTCTTAGGAAGATGACCTATGACTTTCTGCATATCGGTAGTGATGACAGCTCTATATCTAAAATTCTAACGATTGTCGCAATATTCCCAGAACTGTCAAAGCTGCCTGGCTGTTACATGCTCCCATCATGGTAAAGCATGCACTGAAACAGAAGGAAGGTCACTGCTATCCTGCCACTTGAGGACATGTGACTATGTGTAGAGCTGTAGCCAACTGGCTCTCTTAGTCATGGTGACCGATTTAAGAAGCTCTTTCATTTGAAGCTGCTCTGAATAAATGTGGAATTGATTTCCTAAACCCCCAAAGAGTTTTTAAAACCTTATGAAGAATGGAATCATCCTTAGTTTTACATTTAAATGTCTTTGACTCCCCTGTTACGTGGGATGAAGAGCAGCAGAGGTTTTCCACCTACACACTTGTAGAAAGAAACCTTTCTGATTACCTGTAGCCTTTCCAGCCACTTCTCTTCAGTAGTATTGGAAGTCAGAGTTTTTCAAGGTGAGGACAGGTAATGCACAAGGGCTGTATTATTTATGTTTTCTTGCTACATTGTATGTAAATCTAAGTCTTCTAAGGAGAAAAATCCATACCAAAGGGACTTAGTGTCATCCCCCCTTGACACACACATCAATTT